CGGGGCAAACTGAAATACAGACGTTGAGCATCCGGAATGGTCTCGGTTCACGGATTGATACACGGGATCGAGGCTCCTGCCCAAGCCGGGTCGGTCGGTTTTATTCCCGTCGGTCAGTGGCTGTCGTTCACCTGAAAGGCACAAGTGATAAAATGGGTGTAGCATTGCACTTTTCTCAGCGCGTCGTTCACCTGAAAGGCACAAGTGATAAAATGGGTGTAGCATTGCACTTTCTGTTCTCAGCGCGGGGCAGTATGTTTGCAAGCGCGAGGATTCGCATAAATAATTGTCCAATATTGGTTTAATTTGTGTTCTAGCAGGACACAGGTGCTTCTGAATACGGTCACGGATTTTGATGGGTACAGCTGATGAGGCTGGAGGCTAGCCATTTCGCGACGGACTTTGGCCATCTTTGTTTCCAGCCATGCAGCTCTGTCTTTCAGATCTATAGGGAGTTATCGCTTGGGCGACGGGGGGAATTAATCGAGTGGAGGAAGGTCGGCGGGATGTTCGTCAGACAGGGCGAAACGTCGGTTGAGCTTGCGTTGTTCATTAACCGCGACAATGTTAATTAACTGCGATATTGTTGATTAACTGCCTCATTGTTGATTAACTTTGTAAGATCCCGACGGTTATGGATCTCACAGGACGATTGCGACTATTAGATTATACGCATTTCGCAGCCAGTAGTCAATAGGAGGAGACAGACGTGGGGCAGCATATGATATATTGAAGACTGACAGGAACTGGTTCTACAGACAAACGGATTAGTAAGCATCATGAATTAATAAGACGTACAATCAACAATGACGCAATCGGTAGGAGCGGGAAGTGGCCACTGACGCAGCACGGATTTCTATAGGGGCAAGAGCAACTAAGTACCAAACGATGTACAGGCTTACATATAGGGCAGTCTGACAGTGTGAATTGGCCGTAACGGCACAGGAGTCGGTACGTTCGGAATGTGAAAGAGTCTTTCGGTCGGGGTCGACGCAGCCGTTCGTGTCGCGTGACAGGTCAGATTGCGCGGTTTCGTCCATTTAAAACAAAGCTCAGCGAGGGTTATCTGGCAGGCGCGATACATGGGTAACAACACGTGCCGTCTGGAGGATCCGGGTTCGATACCCGGTCAGCTCGCATTTCCGTTGGGGTGGGCGCTCAAAAAATAGGTGCAATCAAGGCGAACGTGCAGGCAATGACAGGCGCGCAACAAATATTGACATCACTTACTGAGGGATAAACAGGCACTAAGTAGGAACAAAGCGTGGGGAAAACGAGCAGCAGGAAAACGAAACGGTGTCATAATAAGCAGGCGAAAGTCATGTTACTCATGAGTAGTCAGAAAACAAGGAACTCTACACTTGTTCACCGTTAACTCACAGGGGGAATTAACAAGAGGTTTGATCTTGTCAAGAGGAAAGCGAATCGTTCTGGACTCAAGGTGATCGGCGAACCTGAGGTTTATTTGGCCCAGCAGCCCAAACTCAAGAAGTCATTAAATAACTGGTGCAGGGCTCAAAATTGACGTACATCCGTTTGAATTAGAACTGGTCAACAAATTCATATAATCATTTGAAACTAACCTGCAAATTGCAGATTCAAAACGAACACTAACTCTATGCGTCTCAACGCAGCATGTTGGATCGCAGAATGTACGTGTGAAGCGTGTACAGCTAGAGCTGCCTTTAGGTGCCCAAGTGCCATGCCACCCAAAGGAAACACAAGGGCTGTCCTACTGCCAGGTTGCTCAAGCCTATACTGGGCAAATCGAGAAGCGGAAGTCAGGTTCGAACCACGGAACTTTCCGGTCATTAAATTCGCTCACCGACCAAAAGTTCATCCCGAAATCGCACACAAACTTTTTTCGAGCACCAAGTGGCTGCTGAGCATCACAATGTGTAAAATTTGTTTCGTCCTGACTGGTGTGGTTTTGTTTTCTCTCGGTCGCAAGGCAAATCTGAACGAAGTCATGTTTCTATTCTCGCTTGAGGTTTTCGGACAATCCTACTGAGAAACGGCCAGAATCGCAATCGATGCTCGTGTCAACAGTCTCGTCAACTGACAAACCGTATTTGATGACCGTCTAATGACCGCGTTTTCATGGCACATATGTTGTCTCAATCCCAACTTTTCAAACACTTTCCAAAAACCTGTTTCCGGTTTCCTAGCCTTTTCAATTAATCAACCGAACGAATACCGTAATATTAACGAATGTGTTAGTTTCCTGGGTTTTCGGACAACGGATGTTCTGTCAGCTTGTCTTTCCAATTTGGTCGCGCACATTCATTGACAATTTGTTTTATGAGGCTTTACAGCGGCGCGTCCGGAAACGGTGGCTCAAATTGACCTACTAAATCACTGATGGTCGTTTTGTCTGTTTATCCATCTCCCTCTCCTTTCAATTGTGTTTCATTGCCAGTTATTGTCACTGGATACGTTCGCTCACTTCGGTTGACTTCATTCAGCATTGAAGTCATTCCCAGAATTCAGCTGTAGCTATCACGGCTCGGAAGGACCTGGGTGCGCAGACGCGTGCTTACGATAAATTATCTAATAGAAGAAACAGCTTCGAAAGTAACGGGACTACACAACTACGATTGGAATAACGGGTTTCGTTGAGAGACAGATTTCAGTCGTTGTTCCTCACCCGCCCTCGACAGGTGAGTTAAATTCTTAGTATCACTTGGTCGCTCGTACGCGACAGTGATTACCACAGCGGCAGGCTCGCATGTTTGTTGACTGTTTTGGTTTGGTCAATCGCACCACGCGATCAGGCGGCTATCCACGCCAGGGTTCACGGTGATAAGAATGCATCTATGGACTGTGGTCCACAACAATGTCGAAATAATGCCTGCTTCCGAATACAGCGACGTTTGAAATATCAAATTCAGAGCTGACACTCAGTCGGACTCAGACGGACCACGCATACGGGAAAACACCAGAATGTTGGTTTCACAATTTCTACAACAGCAAAACATTTACCCCAAAGTTATCGCCATCCAGTCACATGTGCGTTCATACACAAATACCCATAAATTCTTCAACGTAGTGGTTCGAATTTGCTTTCACACTGCTCACAATTATTTAGTAGTCCGAAGGCAACTCTACTTCGAAACGTACCTGGATAATATACCTGACAACTTCGTACTCAGGTACCAGAAAACACATACGTGGGCGCTATGACATTACTGATCGCTGTCTGAGTAATTTAAACTACCTATCAGCAGCGGATGACCAACAAGTTTATTCCTGATTCACCAATCTGGAAATCATAAGCTGGAATTCATTTGAAGATTTGTGACTCGCATCAAGGCGTAAACACCACTGTGCATTACTGCTACGCTCGTCGGTACAGATTGATCGGACTTGCAACACCCAACGCTGATAACGGTTTCTCGTAACCACCCCGACGAAACACACTTGAGAAACCGTGAGGAATAAACTAACCTGAAACGGAAAACAGCGAGCGGTGCTACGGAATACAATCACACTTGGACCGCTTTGGTGAACCATTAATCAATTATGGTAAACTTTCTGTGACTTTATTATTGAAGCTAAAACGCACTTCAAAATGATTTGAAGAAAATGTTTATGTCTAACCATGTAGACAAGCTTTGATGGTCAGGTAATACATAACAATTACTTTCATTTCGTGTCGAATTATTATCGTCTACAAGGGATATATATATACTTCCTTGGGGGAGCAGCTGAACAAAAAGTTTTTACATTTACGAAATGCTCTGACCGGCTTGTGACCACCAAACGATTTCTCCGGTACAAACGGAAGAGGCGCGATTAGCGGCTTCCGTGGCTTCAAGCACCAGATTACTGCCTAACCGGTTCGTGCATTTGTCACATGCATAGTACTGCTCCCAGAATATTTGCAGTAGTTTATCAGAACACATAGACTGGAATATGTACCAATTGGGGAATCCCTCGATGAATACGTTGAGGTTCGAGAAATACGCTCACTTGCAAATCGATTTACGTTCCACGAGAGACTTAAGCGAATCTCTCGTTTATGACATTCTACAACCGAATGTGCTGCTTAAAGGCCGCCTTATGATTCAGTTGCCGCGATATTCGAGATATCGCAGTATATTTTCATGCAAGAAACTATTCATAAGTTTGCTGAAAACTCTTCGACAGCCCATAACCAGCTTCGCCCATCTTTGGGATTGCACCTACCTGATAAGTCCCAAAAATAGCGAAACCGGCGGTGGGCTGCCGAGGTGTTTTCAGTAGACATGTGAGTAGTTTTCCTTGAGAAAGCAATTAAATTTCTTTACCAGACTCCTCACTATGCTTCAAACAATCTTTGTATATGAACTAAGGTGGGCTATTTTGAAAGCCAATTGCGTCGTCGTCATGAAGTTGGAAAATATCACCGTCAACAAACCTTTTCCAACGAAAGAGAAACACTGCACACGTCTGTGTGCTTCACAGACACTCCTTTACTTACACGGAAAGACTCTTGATGACGTCGTATAAGGAGACAAATTAGGATGACCGTGTAATTAGTTGAAAATATTCCACCCAGATTAAACTGACTTCGTGTATTTAGTGAGAATGACTCACTAATGTCAAGCGAAAACACAAATGTGAAATGAAATGAAATCCATCAGAGGTTCTTCCCACGTTCATCTAACTCCTGAATTATGATCCTCCCAAGCTTAACATATGAAATTGCGTTGATTTTTAAAATCCACTCCTTTCCAACCGTCGACAAACTCAACATATACTCCCACTCGTGCCACAGATCTAACACAGATCCAGCACACTGCCGACCTGATAAAGAAAGCTGTCAGTTGGTGCTCGAAACCAGTTTGTGTGCGTTTTTGGGATGGTCTCGTGGTTAGTGCACGAAATTAATGACCGGAAAGGTCCGTCGTTCGAAGCAGATATCCGCTTCTCGATTTCCCCTATCTGGACTTGTGCAACCTGGCAGTAGACCAGCCCTCGTGTTTCCTTCAGGTGGCATGGCACTTGGGCACCGAAAGGCAGTTACAGCTGTACACGCTTCACACGTACATTCTGACCTATTTAGTTGCTGCATTCTACGTTCCAGCATGCTGCGTTGAGACGCATAGAGTTAGTGTTCGTTTTGACACTACAATTTACAGGTTAGTTTCAAATGATTATGGAAATTTAATCACCAGTTCCAATTCAAACGGATGTACGTGAATTTTGAGCCTCGCACCCTTTATTTGAGAACTTCTTGGGTTTGGGCTGCTGGGCCAAATAAAGCGAAATGAAAGAAACTACAGCATTCCTATTTGTATTTGGGTCCGAAGACACACCTTTGTGAGCTGGTTACCGTCTCCAGTAGTGAATAGATGGGGTTGTATAAAAAGATAAGCCTCTCTTCCACAATTGTATGGGATCCTGAAGAGCGGGTTCACTATAATGTAGGCACAAGGGCCTGGTCNGTCGCTTCATGTGTTGCCTCAAGTAACGCATGCATAAGCATAAGCCGTTTGCGATTAACCGTTATTCGGCCATGAGCTGACCATGCGTAGCATGACCATCTCACCTGAAGGCGGAATAAAGCCACCTTTAATCTGCACTTCAGAGATATCCAACGTGGCACAAGGGATCAGGTCAGGCATGATTTATTTCATCAGCTTTAAAAAGCGTAAATGTTACGATGACTACGTATGTGATCCCTCCAATGAACGTTTGGCCGGAGCGTCGGAGGAACGCGTTTCACTAAACCAAAAAATCACCGACGAGAGCTTAGAACCCACGTGTAGTGAACCTAAAGGTCGTTCATGATTATTCTCTATTTTCCACAAGCTATTGTCCAAACGCCCCCTTAAAATCTATCACCCAGGTATAGTTAAGAGAGAGACTACTCTTCAGGAATGTCGCAGTTTTCACATTTAGAGACGTACAAAATTTCGTAATTGACAAATTATAAATACGCCTGACGGGATAAATTTTCCAGCTGCCAAGTAATGAATCAAGTAGCCAGTGTTGTTATAGCGTGTAATTGCGAACCACATTAACGGTGAATTATCCGATCGCCATCGAATGATTTGGCGTTTAATGGTAATCACGTGGTTGCTAACACGAACTATTACTCAAACCATGAGAATCGTACTGCTCATAATTCCCAATTGGGGCGAATTAGTCGTCAAGTGCTCCGCAAGATTTCAGCAGTGAAATTGTGCACTTACAACGCAAGCGCACAACTGAAAATTCCGGTCACTTACAATATTCCAGTAGTGGGATGCTATTTGCACTGTTGCATTCAAGAACAGTAGACGCCAGCTAAACAAGTTTATTGAGACTGACATTGAGTTCTTCACCTCTTGTAATTTTAAGCAGCAATCGTATACGAAGTGCCATCGATAAGGACAACGGAGGACAAATGTTCCACTCTTGTTCAAACCAAAGATCCGATCAAACAGGCAGACCAGAAAAGCTCTCACAAGTATATAGTATGCGGCAAATCATTCCCTCTCGTGTCGGAGGTTACGAGGCACCAAAACGTGCACGCTGAGACCGTCGATTTTTATTGTAGTGTGTGCGACGTATCGTTCAAAAGTGAGCGTAGTCTTGAGCAACATATTACGAGAAAGAACGCTATTGGACACCACATTCCTGACAGTAAGCGAGTGCGGGAATCAGAGGAAAGCGGAAACCAATGTCCTGAAGGCGGGAAGTGCTTTGCAAGTTGGAAGAATCTGTTCCAGCATCGGCGATCGGTTCACCGAGAGGAAACGCGTCAAGAGTGCAAGTAGTGTGGAGCGCTGTTGTGCCGATAATGGAGTCCTGCTCGGCACATGAGAACCGTGCACGGAAAGCAAAGCCATTACATTACCGAGCAATGTGGGGAATCGTGTTGCAGTTTGGATGCACGGCATGACAGCAAATTGCGCGACTCCTAGGGACGGAACGCAGAAAACGTGACCTTCAAATCATTCACTATATGCACAATTGTCTTCTTAATTCCATCGAATTTCTCTCATCCTGACCAAAATGTCCTTTATTGATTTTGGGTCTACTCCAATTGGACGAAAGCAACAAAGCGACATATGAAGGCAAAGCAGTTCCACAAGTTTCGTATTAAACTTCACCAGTATCAAGTGGACCACGATGAGAAAGCCCTAACTCTGGACAGCAAGTTTTTCACCAGACTCTTTTCTTCTGAGCAGTTTAACGGTCTTGATGACGACCACCTGTAGTCAATCGTTCGCTGAACCAAACATGCGGCTCCACACCACACGTCTGACCGTGGCCTCTGAGTAGGTCAGGCTCCGCGGTTGTGCAAAGCCTACTTACAACACCTGATTCAAGTCAAACATGAATGGGAAAGTTCAGCTTGACTGATCAAATTCCTAACGGAGTCTCACAGTGGTCAGCTTTAACTATTTGACAATTCGACTTTTAGACCCGGGAGGACGCGCCATTTGAAATACTCAAACAAGAGTTTTCCGCAAACCAAAACATACCGCCTGCGCGACTCTGGTTGTCTGACTCAATCAATCACCTTGGAACGGACAAAAATCCTACATATTAACCGTTGGCCCGTGCTGAAGGATGCTGAATTGGTGTCCGTAGTGGTAGGTGGTGGCGAACAGATGTGTGTTAGATACTTGCGGGAATGAAGAAGGAAAGCGGCAGCCTGTAGGCTGCTGTGGTGGAGAACAGATTTGTGTTAGATTCTTGTGCAACCAAGAACAGAGGTAAAACCTCCTCCACGGCATGTGGAAACAGCACCAGTTCAAATGGCAAACTAGTCAATGATTGCAATGAAATCTGACCATATCCAGATAATCGATCGATTAAACTGGGCTACACAAAAGTAAATCAAAGCGCTCTATTTGTGGAGAACTACATTCAACGCATCAACACCTACATTTTTGTTTTGATCCAGAGAGTAATCAGTGGGAGCTAAGGGAAAATCTCAGTTACCAGAAATTATTTATGTCATTTGCGGTGTTCCCCGACGGAATGCTTGATTTTCAAAAGAATCGCCTCGATGCAGCCACGCAGTGGAGGTTTCATATGAAATGTCCTGGCGTCGCTTCTTGATTCATGCAAACGGTCAATGCGCCAAGCGTAGGCTCCGTCCGTTTCGAGTGAACGGACGCCTCAGATTCACCTCGATGTTTTCGATTTCCGCGGTCATTTCGAGCAGCAGCAAAGATGCGATGTCTGACAAAAAACGATAAGCCAGAGTCTCCTGATACATAAACCGGTTTTACAGTCTCATATGGATGCAACCTAGCAAATATACACGCTTTTTGTATGGCAAAGCCCGTAGTGTGGTGTTCCTCCAATGATCGTGCCTTATTTTTCAACTTTTCTTTCAAGGTCATCGTTGTCGTCGGTGGCTTTGGTGCACCGAATGATGTAGAAAATTTTTGACATNCTCATTTGCAAACCAATTTGGGTTATTTTCAAGAGATACTTGGACCCCAACTAAAACTCTCGGTGTTGAGGTTCCCAGGGCCGGGTTGAAATAAATCATCATATGGCGCTTACTACCAGTCATGCTGGTCAATCCAAACAAACTTTCATAAACTGCCAACTCACGAATCAACGTATATTGACCAACGATCGTCTGAGACGCAATGCAACGCCACAGCACCAGCTGGATATGTTTGTCGCGAGATTCGGGAAAACTGCACTGTTGCCTGTTTCAACCTGAATAGAAATAATCAAAAGCTTGCGGACCCTGCACAAATTGATTGCGAAACGCGCCACTACGTGTCAAGCTCGTAAAAACTACTATCGAGTAGAGTAACTCCCGGTTTACATGATCGAGTAACTGTTGTAGCTTATTAAAACTTGATGAATTCGTCTTGCGGTTTGGGTTTGTGAGATATAGGACATTCCACCGGTTCCTCTGGGAACAAGACCAATCTCTCCTTTTATGCGATCCAGGAATTTCATTCTCTCATTTGAACACTTTACGAACAAAAATTTGAATTGCTCCACTTTTCCCCGAGCGCCCACTTTCAACCCAGTAGCTAGAAATAGTTCTCACAACAGTCGCCAGTGATTTCGTACCTGCTGTACTGATGACACTCGTTTTCTCTCAAGACTTTCAGTCCACTAAACTCGGATATGGATGGTAAACCATACTGACTGCGAAGCTTGTCTGAAGCGATCCAAATGAACGATAAAATTATGTCCAACATCACTCGCTTTTCCACCGCCGAGTCTCCCATTTTTACGGTGGCAACAAGCAACGCCTGAAGAGAATCAATGAAGAAACCTGAGGCTTACATATTCGGTAGCAACTAAATCCACTTTAAATTCCGTTCTTTTCAATCGCTGTAACGACTACTGAAAATCACCGTTCACGCGTTCATTGTTTGCATGCAAAAGGATACTTCATCGTTTTCGCAGAACGTTAGAACTTTTTAAATTTACAGTTTATTTCCGGAGGCATCATTCACATAGATGAATAACATCAAACAGAAGGTAACGGTCCACATAGTGGGCCGTATAACTTCACGAACACAACGTTAGCTTGTTTAGGTACCTGCTCCTAGTGACTAGAGTGAAACGAATGAAACGAATGTATACTTCCTAGTTTGAAGAATCAACCGACCCGTCTTGTGTCAAGCAGCACAATGACCTTTAACAAAACTATGGATTATATCTCGATTAAATTCACTTACTGGGTAGTGATAGAATATGTGGATTGAATGAAGTTTTCCTGAGTAATTTCGCATCTACCTGAAAGCGGCCTCTAGACCTTCAGTTTTCCTCTGTAACTCCGTGAACCCTCATCTTGTTGATTCCTTTCTTCTATTTCTATAATGTACAACGCGATTCCCCTTTTTTGTCAT